TTTCACCATGTTGACCAGGATGGTCTCGATCTCTTGACCTTGTGATCCACCCGCCTCGGCCTCCCAAAGTGCTGGGATTACAGGCTTGAGCCACCGCGCCCGGCCAACTTCATCCATGTTAACAGACACTAGTGTCCCTGGGCACCAAGCATCAGAGCTAAGCACTTTGGGGACATGAGTTCAGTTTGTGTCATCACAGGGAACATGGGCCAAGCACCTGCCAGCACTTTGCAGGCCACAGCACTGCAGCTGGTCCTGGCAGGTGGGACAACCAGATCCAGCTGCATCCCCATCTGCAGGCCCACAGGCTCACCAACCCGCTGGTTTTCACACCAACCTTGTGTCTGAGCTGGTACTGATGCTGCCCTGGCTGTGTAGAGACAGTGAAGTGGAGGTGTCGTGGATCCCACGGTCACTGAGGGCTCCTTGGCTTTTGGCCTGGAGAAGCAGAAAGGATGGGTTATAACCCTGTAGGGTCAAGTACCAGGCTGTGGCTGGCCTGGAGACTCGGTCCTGGGGTGTTACAGCACCAATGTGGGTTGGCCTTTCTGTCTTGTGGGGGACGACTGGGTGGTGGGTGGATGACGGGGTCTTTCCCAGCCTACAGCATTAGCCTAGACACAAGACTGCAGGCTGGGCAGCCACCTGTCCAGGATCCAGGCAGGACAAGGCCCAGAGACGCTCACTTTTCCCACAGAGTCCATCTCCCAACCTGGGCTTGAGGTTCTTATGGCTTCCTTGGACCCCTCCCAATTTGTCTGGCCCGAGGGGTCCATGCCCAGCACCCTGGTGTTTTCTTTTCTTTTTTTTGAAACAAAGTTTTGCTCTTGTTGCCCAGGCTAAAGTGCAAGAGTGCAATGGCATGATCTCAGCTCACCACAATCTCTGCCTCCCAGATTCAAACCATTCTCCTGCCTCAGCCTCCCAAGTAGCTGGGATTATAGGTGCCTGCCACCATGCCCAGCTAATTTTGTATTTTTAGTAGAGACGGGGTTTCACCATGTTGGTCAGGCTGGTCTCGAACTCTGACCTCATGATCTGCCCACCTCGGCCTCCCAAAGTGCCGGGGGTACAGGCGAGAGCCACCGCGCCCAGCCCTCCCTGGCATTTTCTACGACCCTATTGTCCATGAAAGGGACCTGAAGATGCAGGGCTGGGATAGGGGGTTGGGGGCCTTGTCCTGCGTGCTCCCCTCTGCAGTCCCCTGACCACTAAATAAAAGGAGTTTGAAGCCCCACTCCAGGACTACCTTCTTGAAGGGGTGGGTACTCGAAGAAATGTGCCAGGCAGCAAGTCACACGCCTACAGAGTACCACAGGGATCGGGGTCCCGTTATCCACCCACCCACCTCTGGACTAGCCAATCCCAGTTCCTCCTGTGCGGCCCTTCAAGCTCTGCTCATCTGCCTCACGGGGCGATGTGGGTATGCCGGGGACCTGGGCAGACCTGGGAACTTGCAGTGGCAAAGACCCCACCAGCCACTCTGAGGTGGAAAAGGGTTACCAGAGGCTCAACCAAATAGCGCCCCGCTTCATGCGCTGATTGGCTCCAGTGCACGTCCCTCTGGCTGCCACTCTCCCCTGGGCTCCCATGCCCTGCAGCATGAATGGGCAGTCCGGCATGAATAAATGCCAGGTTCCCTGACCCCGCGTCCAAGTCCACCCCAGGTCCTCTAGCGCCTCCCATTGTATCGATTCTGCCACCGCAGTGCCCCCAGACTCCAAAAATGATGCGGCCTCTTGCACACCCAGTGTACAAATTCCTGCAAGATACAGCGGTCGGGTCAGTCCCCACGAGGCTGGCAGGGACCCAGACTCACCAGCCTCCTCCAGGCCGGCAGCACTTCCCGAGAACTCCACACTGACACTGACCCCTGGCCTGCGTGCCTCCTTATATTATGTTAGTGCAAAAGTAATTGTGGTTTTGCCACTGCAATGACAAAACCACAATTAATTATGCACCAACCTAATATTTGGCACCTGAGGCACCTCCTTGCCATTCCATAGTCCCGGCTCTGTGGCCTGGCCAACTCTGAGCTGTAGGAAAGGGCCCCAAAGTGACATCAGCTTCATCTCAAATTTAAACCCCAGAGTAAAGGAACAAGACAGCCTTAACTACTGCCCAAAGAGAAAAGTCAGGAAAATTAAAAAATCTTAAGCTGTAACAAGAAGGGAATCCTGAAATATGTAAATTGGGCTCTTTCATATTGTGAAATATATATTTGGTCTTTGGCCCTCCCAGTATATAATTCCTAAAATTCCTGGAATCTCCAAAGTGATGTCTTTTTGTATGTTCACGCACTGACTGATGACGAGCAGCCCCCGAGGTGCTTCAGTGGGGCTGGTCACCAGAAAGACCAAGTGTAAATAAGCTTTTGTTTTTGTTTCTTTTTTTTTGAGACAGGGTCTTGCTCTGTCTCCCAGGCCAAAGTATAGTGGTATGATCTCGGCTCACTGCAACCTCCACCTCCTGGGTACAAGCAATTCCCCTGCCTCAGCCTCCCAAGTAGCTGGGATTACAGGTACACACCACCATGTCCAGCTAATTTTTGTATTTTTAGTAGAGATGGGGATTCACCAAGTTGGTGAGCCTGGTCTTGAACTCCTAACCCCAAGTGATCCACCTGCTTCAGCCTCCCAAAGTGCTGGGATTACAGGCGTGGCATTGTTTGAGTTCTTTAAACTGCTCTAGCAAATAAACCACGCCTGGCATTGTTTGAGTTCTTTAAGCCACTCTAGCAAATAATTTAATCCAAGGAACTGGTCATAAGAATCTGAGATCATAGCTGGTGGGTCAGAAGAGTGAGCAAGACGACCTGGGGCTTGCAATTAGCATCTGAACACAGGGATGTCTCCATGGTTTGGGGCCTCACCTGCAAGATCTGACGCTATCTCTAGATGGATGACATTGGCATTGGATTTGTATGCTGCATAACTGACTACTTGCTCATTAGTGGGAAAGAAATCCCCACATTTGGTTGCAGAAGCCTTCTGTGCTGGGTGACAAAATTGAAAAAGTACTTTGAGTTTCTGTGTGTCTTACTGGCTGGCTCCAAAAAACTGTAAATGACTACCCAAAACTCAGAAAAAAAAGAGCAACTGTAAATGACATGATACCTACACAGGTCCATAGAGGTCTAACTGACACACAGTACAGCAGGGCTACTTCTGAGTGGCTTGGTAAAGGGGCAGGGGCAGGTCTGGAAGCTTCCTGCTGCTGCCTCCACCTGCCTCTGCTCTGCCCTCTGTCCTCTGAGCTCCAGTAACAAGTAGCTTCCTTCAATAAAGGCCCTTAGAGGCTGGGCATGGTGGCTCACGCCTGTGGTTAGACCATTTGGGGTCAGGAGTTCAGGACCAACCTGGCCAACGTGATGAAATCCCATCTCTATCAAAAACGCAAAATTTAGCCAGGTGTGATGGCACATGCCTGTAGTCCCAGCTACTCAGAAGCCTGAGGAATGAGAATTGCTTGAACCCAGGAGGTGGAGGCTACAGTGAGTCACAATCACACTATTGCACTCCAGCTTGGGTGACAGAGTAAGACTGTCTCACAAAACCAAAAAACAAAAAACAACCCCACCAATCAGATTGGATTAGGGCTTACCATATAACTTCGTTTTACCTTAACACTCTTTTATTTTTCTTTTCTTTCTTTATTTTTATAGAGATGAGGTCTCGCTATATTGCTTAGGTTTGTCCCAAACTCCTGGGTTCAAGCAATCCTCCTGCCTGGGACTCCCAAAGTGCTGGTTATTTATCTGAGACAGGGTATTGCTCTGTTGTCCAGCCTGGAGCGCAGTGCCATGATCATAGCTCACTGATGCCTTATCTCCCAGGTTCAAGTGATCCTCCTGCCTCAGCCTCTTGAGTAGCTGGAACTACAGGTGCACATCACCATGCCCAGCTAATTAAAAAAAAAAGATTTTTTTTTTTTAAGGGACAGGTCTCACTATGTTGCCCAGGCCAGTCTCAAACTCCTGGCTTCAAGCAATCCTCCTACTTTGGCCTCCTGAAGTGCTGGAATTAAAGGCATGAATCACCACATCCAGCCCCTTAGCACCTTTTTAAAGATCCAATATTCAGGCCGGGCACGGTGGCTCACGCCTATAATCCCAGCACTTTGGGAGGCCGAGGCGGGTGGATCACGAGGTCAAGAGATCGAGACCATCCTGGTCAACATGGTGAAACCCCGTCTCTACTAAAAA